AGGAGAGAAAGGGAGAAAGAGAGAGAGAGAGAGAGAGAGAGAGAGAGAGAGAGAGAGAGAAGGAGAGAGAGAAAGAGAGAGAGAGGAGAGAGGGAGAGAGAAGGAGAGAGAAAGAGAGAGGAGAGAAAGGGAGAAAGAGAGAGAGAGAGAGAGAGAGAGAGAAAGAGAGAGAGAAGGAGAGGGAGAAAGAGAGAGAGAGAGAGAGAGAAAGAAAGAGAGAGAGAGAAGGAGAGAGAGAGAAAGAGAGAGAAGGAGAGAGGGAGAGAGAAAGAGAGAGAGAAGGAAAGAGAGAGAAAGAGAGAGAGAAGGAGAGAGAGAGAGAGAGAGAGAGAGAGAGAGAGAGAGAGAGAATTTCATGCTGCAACTTTCCTTATCGTGTAAATGAGACTAATACATGCCAACTCAAAATGTCTATTGGGAGAGCTAAAAATATGCAGCGGATAGACAGAATTCAATAGGTACTCGGTGCGTGTTGGTATCATTTCTTTGAGGCTAAAGAAGAAGAGGTAAACAGGCATGATTTTCTCAACCTGGGTGGAAGCTGAGAGAAGAGGGAAAGGCAGTGTTCACCCCTCCACTCCCCAAGGGAACTAGGAGGGTTGAGTTTTCTCTTGGCAGAGCAGAATTAACAATGAACATGGAGCCTTTGCAATTTCGTGGCCATGGGATTTCCTATGGCATGATGGTCTACGTCGATCTGCGAGTGAGTTACCAAGCAGATGTATTTAGGACAACCAGACAGATAAGATAAACTGTGCAAGGGGGCTCAATCTGGACCCTAATTGGAAAACGCCAGAGGTATCTTTGCTTTTCTGAAATTCTCCTAATGCAAAGAACCCTGGTTCTATGAGACCATTTTCACGCCTGAAATACACTATGCTCTTTGCTATTCTTTTGCATATGCTAATTTCTGTGCTTGGAATGTCTTCCCACCCTCCACCTCCACTGCACAGTCAATACCTATGTCTAGGAAGTCTTTTCTGTTTCCTTCACAGTAGGGGGAGTGCCACCTCCTGCACTCCGAGGCTTGCTACTGTCCTTGTGCTGACTCTCCCCCCCCAACTTCCCACTGTTTCCTAGATGGTTGCACTCCCCAAGGATGACAGTACATCCTTTGAGGGCATGTGTATATACAGGCTACACAGTCTATATGTCAAATGAATGGACAAAGTGTGCTAAAAAGATCCAGAACCAGAGCATAACTCATTACATTAACTCATTACATTATTTCCCCGTCCCCCCCCCCCGCCCCCATCATACTCTGTCAGCTACAGAACAAATAGCTATGTTTTGTAGGGTACTTAGGGAAATTGAAGTCTTTATAGGAAAAGGGAGTGGTGGCCTGTTCATTCCTTTGGACCTGACACTTATGTGTTCTGTTGAGTAAAATGAATTATGTTAGGAGATTATTAACAACAGGGAGCATCTTGGCTCTCATCAAAAGTGGGGTTGAGGTTGTTACTTTTTGTACGTCATCACATATTAAAAAGGAATAAAGTACCATTGCTAGCTACAGAAGCCAGAGACACCTCCCTGCCACTCACTGCTCTTGTTGGCCTGGGACCCACCAGTGCCGTCACACCTGCGCCACTTAAACTCTGAAGGCAGCTCTTGGGTGTGGCTAAGTGTGACAGGGAGTTTTCTCCGGGAAGTGAAAAACATTATAGTCCAACATGCCCTGGCCCAGGACATCTAAAGTTGTGTTGAGAGTTTCGTGTCTACTGTAGGCATGTAACTGAGGGGTAAGCCTGCTTACAGTGAACTTTAGGTTTCTTATCAGTGAGGTGACGGACAAAAGATGTGTAAATTTCCATCCACTTTCCAAGGAGCACAGACTAATTCATCAGAGCTCCACATAGGGATCTCACATTTTTGCAAGATTGTGACCAACGTTTGATAAACACGTCACCTGAAACATCAGTCTTCCCCACTTTCCAGGCTAATCCTCCCAGGGGACATGTGTTAAGAGGCAAGTCTCTGGGGCTATGTCCTTCAACTCCGAATTCTCTCTTGGCCTGAGCCCACAGGAGAAGTCATGGCCAAGCTGGCACCAAAGCAACAGCGTCACGCAGAATGGCCGGTACATTCGACATCAGGGAAGGAGGAGGAAGTCTACTGACCTTGTGAAGCTCCACGGGAGTTGGGGACATGATCTCCTTTATTTCTTGCTTCATTTTCCTCAGGGTTACCGACTTCCTGCCCACGTCTGAGGGCAGGGTGTTACTGCGAGTTGTTTGGCTGTAGTGTGGCCGTGAACTGCTCCGCTCCTGGAAGCTGGCCTGCCGCCCCAGCTGACTGCGGGCCGTTGGAGCCTCATGATTCAAACTCATGGTGCTCCCCGACATGATTGTGGCCTGTGGCATTGACAATTTTCAGAGACAATTAAACCATTGCGAAGGGTAGGGCTTGCTTGCTCAACATTAAGCACAATTCTCCTTCTGCCCAGTCAAAATATGGTGTCTTCAGGGCATAACCAAAGGCTGGAGAATGGACGCACTAGCTGAACTACGAAAGTCTGGAACTTGCTTTGCAATTACATTTATAATGCACATCTCAAATCGAATGGAAGTACTTAAGCCCTTGAGTTTATTTAATCAAATACCACCCCTAGCAATGTTGAGGCAAATTGAAAAGCTCCAACATTAGTTTACTGCAAACTGCATTTTAAGCACCAACTTCCCACCAAGTTGGCTCTGAGAGCTGGAATTCATGGAGGCACCTTCAGTGTGTCTTAGAGAAGAGCTTCATGGTGGAGGCCAGGCTGCCACTGACTGTAATGTTGCCTCTGGCCTCAACAGAAGCAGTCTTTCTTTAGACTGGAATGGGGTGACTGATACAGAGGCAAAGGGGTCTCCTAACACTTCCAGCCTGGAACTGTCAAGACCATCTTCTTTCTGGTCCCATGATCTGCCCCGGAAGCTTGTAGATGCATCTTTTAATATTCATTGGCATTTGGCTTCTGTATCTCATGGCCCAGAGTATTGCTTAGAAGTGGTCTTTGTGTGATATTCTCAGGGAGGTTTAAAAAAATTACCCTTTTATATTGGATTCAACCATTTGCTCAATTTAATCATCGCTCAACTGCGAGGCTTGGATTGGGTTTTTACCAATGAAAGGGAAGTTTGCTCAGCTTCAAATATATTCCCTGAATAATACATAAGCAATGGCAAGACTACATCCCTGGATCGCAGAACTGGAACAAAAAAAGGATTTGAAAGCAGTATCATGATGGGAATGGACATTTCTCTTGTTAGAGGGTGCCAGGATTCTTGAAACAGGACTGTGGCCCTCTCTGTATTCCTTATATGATGCTTATATACAAAAGTGTGCACTGGTAAATGTGCCTGAAACTACAGAAACAGAAATTATGTCCACACCCAGGAGAATAAACAAAATGTGGCTTGATTACATTAATGAAAAAAGCTATAAGCAACAAAGCTTGATTTGTTGAACTCTTTTGAACGTATTCATTAACTTAAGCCGTGTAAGTCTGGAAGGTAGGCACTTCACTCATCCCAGTTTATAGGAGACCGAAGTGCAAGGCATTTTTCTTGCCCAGGATCATACAGGCAGTAACAGAACCAAGGGCACTCCCGGTACCCATTGAAGGGAACACTGCCAAGTGAACAGCATCTTTATTTGTTGTCTGATGTAAGATTTTGCATCTCTCCATTGATGCTCAGTGTATACGTGTGCCACTAAGAAAGCACAACAGCCAAGTATTGGCCCAGATATACATAGATCTGACAACTGCATGAGAAAGAGACAAGACCGACAAACCGGTTCTGACTAGACCACGTACGTCACTGATGCTTTTGAGAATGGAAATTCTAGCTGCAGACAAATCCCCGCCCATGACCCAGCACTGCACATAGTGTGTGTCACTTAATATTCAGTAACAGCATAGGTAGACTTTAGAGATTATGCGTCTTATTCCTTCACAATGGGAGGAAGACGAGGGACACCTGGGTAGGTTCTGTAACTGGTCATGAGTCTGGTATGGGAGCCCAGCAGTCCGGGTGCAGTCTTGTTCCTTGACCAACAGGCTCTCAGGCTTCTCCAGCCACATCAACTTCCCTTTTGCAGGTAAAAAGTCTCCAATATTTCTAATATTTAACCAAATGTAGGCATCTATAGTATCATGTAGTTCCGATAAATAACCTTTTTCTTTTGAGGCTTATTAACAGCTCTCTGTGGCCAGCTGTGTTGGTGACATGGGCATCTTTCATTTGATGGCACTTACATCCATGGCGTCTGTGTTTAATCTGTGGCAACTGAAGGCACCCTGTGATCATTTTTTTTCCTGCAGTGGTGACGGTCCATCCATTGTTCTTACCTACTTAGACTATTTATCTGCTTTATTTATATGTATTTTCTCTTTCTCTCTCTTTTTTTGTGAGATCCACAGGAAGCATGTGGGAAATAACACACTCCGTCACTGAGTCTGAGGGCTGACAGTCTGGCTTTGACAAGTCTGAGCTGCCAGAGGAGACAGTGTCAGTGGGTTTTACGAGAGCCCAGTGGCCAAGAGGAAAGGTAAGAAGAGCTCCTCCTTCAAGTTTTCAAACCCTGACTGGATTGCTCACTTACACTAAACGTCAAGGGAATGAACAGTGTCTAAAAAGGATTATAAAAGCTTTAAAGTAGAAATATCATTTAGGTTCAGGTATCTGGTTAAAGTTAAAAAAGTTAAAGTAGCATTAGTTAGGAAACAGCAGACTCAGTACTTGATTATTCTTGTATTCATTGAACATCAGGTTCTCTATCTTTCTGGTAAATATTAGATCACTATAATGTCTGGTTTTTAAAGCATTTTATTTTGATTTTTTAAGACAGGGTTTCTTTGTGTAGCCCTGGCTGTCCTGGAACTCACTCTGTAGACCAGGCTTGTCCTGAACTCATAGAGATCCGCCTGCCTCTGCCTCCTCCCAAGTGCCCGGATTAAAGGTGTGTGCCACCACTTGGCAATTCCTATGTTTTATACACACAAAAGCTGGTGAGGGAGGTTAAAAATTGCTCGAAGTCTTAGTTTGAATTTTTAGCCTCAGGGAAGGCTTTATATTTTCTTCAGTGCTAAAGCTGAACCTAAATTATTGCTGGCAATAATGGAAATGAGTAGTAAATTCTCATTTTAATCACAATTAATTAATTAATCATTTCAGCTAATCTGTGTTTATAAACCCCACAATTTGCTTTAACTTCTGATGTTGAAGGTAAATTTCATCCACAGAATTCCAAGCTTCGATACAAATGTAGCAGCTTTCCCAATCAAGAGAACACCTTCACTTAAACAATGTTTCAAGGTTTTGTGATAATAGTGTAAGTATGACTGGTGAGCATTCCTCCTCACTGAAGATTTAACTTCTCTCTGGCTTAGAGCTCAGTCCCTTTCCTTCCTTCCTTGGTAATTTCCTGGACCACACTACACAGAGCTGCTATGGAGGTACCTGTGGGCTGCTGGAACATACTTCCATGGTGGTGGTTTTCATGAGCTAACTCAACTTCCAGGTAATGGCCCAGGCTCATCCAGTTACTTTTTATAGGACCATCAATATACACAATGTAAACGAAGCTCTAAGAAGAAGGAGTGCCACAAGAGAAATGTATCAAAACAGGGAGGCATGGGAGCCAAAGTCAGTTAGGCAGGTGCATTTGCTCAAGAATTATGAATCCATGTTCCTGATTCAGCCTGCACTACTCATGACTCTACATACAGGGGGTGGTAAAAGTTTAAATAAACCAGCCGGCACTTAAGAAGTGTGCTCTTTTTGGAAACTGTATAAAACAGAAATCAATAGCTCATATCTTAATTTAAATTTTATAAGTCTATCCATACCCAGGTCCTTTAACTGTGCTCTGAAGCCAAGATTCATGCCACGTAATACTATGGTGTCTATAAATTCAAACTGCTGTTTTCCTTTAGAATTCTCTTTGCAGGTTCACAAACATTAGAATCACGTAAAGTCTCCACACATGCAATTGAGAAGCAAAATAATGTAAGGATGAGTAACCCGTTTAGAGGCTCGCGAGTTCCGCCCGGTAGTGCCATTCACATTCCTTAGAGTGACTTGGGGACCTCATATGGCATCAAAACAAAAATGAGGATTTCACCACTTTTCTTTTTACAGCTTAGGAACTTTAAAAGAACATAAAAGGAAACATTCCAGGCCTTCCCAGACTAAGTCTGAATACTGTCAGCAGATTCACGTGAGGCTTTGTTTAAGCAACCGATGCCCAGAGTCCAGCTGTTACAATCTAGCTTAATTCCTCCTCCGATTCGGGTGGCGTTAATACAGAATTAAGATTTCCAATGAACAGCAAAGCAGGAAGGAGTGGTATTCTGCCTGCTTATCAAACAGACTGGCCTTCTTAAAAACGGCCACGTGATTGTCAACTTAAGGGCAAAACCAAAACACAATCGTGTTTCCTCTTATGTTCCTCTTTAACGATCAAATTAATTTCTATACCAGGTACAAATGAAAACATGCCAAAGAAACCTTTCTAAAGCAGCTAAGAGAAATGAAATGCACCACGGTTGGGAGACTGGGCTGGCTCCTTAGCGATTTGGTGGGAAACAGGTACAGTCAGGATTAGCAGGGGAGCGATGGCGGAAGCCACAAGTCAGTCAGAACTGCATTGTGTAAAATCAAACTGCTGTCTGGAAGGCAAGGGCGGGGCGGGGGGAAGGCAGCTGCACAAGCAAAAGTATAAACGGAAAGGGTAGCTACCAAGAGAGTCATGTTTCTCAATGACACACGCCTGTCAGCTTTCTCCTGTGGAAAGGGGTTAAAGCTTTTAAATGAACGGCTGTGATTAATGCGAATGTAAAAAGGACCAAAAAAATAAATAAATAAATAAATAAACAAATACTTAAGTGAAAATAAAAATGAATGTAGAAACAAGATAAGCATCATGACTGAGGCTACCTCAAGCTCTCTCAGGATCCCCGACTGGCCGCAGGTCTCCAGGTCCTCCAGTGCTTGAGACCAGAAGTTTTCCTCTTGTTCAGCCTCTGCACTGTCAGAGGCCCCTGCGAAGCTGCCCGCAAGAAACACATTCTGGGTTAAGGAAGATGCGTGCGTGCATGCACGTGTGTGCACACACACATAGTGCACACATGCGCACAAACTTGTACACACGTGTGCATACGCTTCTGTACACTGAATATTTCTCCTCAATTTACACACACACACACACACACACACACACACACACACACACACACGGGGAAAAGAGATCCACTTTCACCAAGGTTTCTTTGGACTGTGGCCTCCAAGTAAAGGCATCTCTGATATGTTAGGAATGCTAAGTGGCCTGCAGAATTAAACGGCCTTTGTCACTACTACCTGGCTTTCAGAATATTCATGGCTATTGCTGGCTGGCTGCATTGATGTGGCTGTGCTGTGGCAGGCGGCACCATGGGAATATATTTTCTCTGCTACATCTATGGGGGAGGACACATCGCCTCTAAGAATTTATAACATCGTTATAAACAAATTAATACTTCCACTTTTCAATTTTCTTAAAAATGTTTTGATAAGGAACCAACTCTAAGATATCTTTCTTCACTAAAGAAGTATGGAACGTGGGCTGAGCGAATGGCTCATTCAGTAAAATGCTCGCCCTGTAAGCATGAGCACCTAAGTCCGATATCCAGAACCTATGTGGGAAAGCAGGGTGTGAGAATACACACTAGCCATCCCAGTACTGGGAATGTAGAGACAGATGGATCCTGGGGCCTGTGGGCCAGCCAATCCAGCCTCATTAGCGAGCTCCGAGTAGATGGTTTCCTGTGGTTGCACACACACACACACACACACACACACACACACACACACACACACGCCCCTCTATGGTTCTCTTGTCTGGGACTGGTGGCAGCCACCTGTAATCCCAACACCTAGGAGTCTGTGGCAAAGGGGACTTTCAGGTAAGCCTGGGGCTCCATACGGGAGACTCTGCCTCCAAGCAAAGGAACTCTGGATGTAGCCTACATGGGACTTAGTGTGAAACTGCTTGTAAAAGAAGGGAAAGGAGCCGATTGCCACAGAAAGGACATGCTTCCTAGAAGCTGACTTCCCCGCAATGCTGCTCTGAGAAACAGCACCATTGCTTGGCGCTATCTGGCCCTCACTGGGCAGTCACATGATTTGGGAACCTTCGATGTGGCTGATGTGGGTGGTTAACATGATGACTTCACAAGGTCAATGTTAACAGAAGCTGCCACTGGGTATGGAGAGGTGCAATGCGTCCCTCTGAGACCCGGAAGTCACCAGCATCGGGGGAGGGGCAAACACCCTACCCGCTGGCTGTGGACCGATCCCAGTCTTCATTACTCAGCCCCACGTCTGGATAAGTCTGGCTTCGAGGCTTGGGGACCGGGGACAGGCTGCCTCTTTGTTTCGGACTCCTCCAGTCATAGGTGTTGAAATTGTATCCTGAAGTCTGAAAAGTGGAGCCTGAAACAGAAGCAAGGCATGAGGATTATCTCATCTACCGAGATACGACGTCGTTGGCCAGATGAGGGGCAGATGGCAAAGTAGGAGCGGGAACAAGAGCGAGCACATAGTGGTACTCATCCTGACTCCCTGCTCTGAGGGCTTTCTTCACAGCCAGCTGTGTTACTATAATTAATTGCAATTAAAAGACAACATTAAGCCGGGCGGTGGTGGCGCACGCCTTTAATCCCAGCACTCAGGAGGCAGAGGCAGGCGGATCTCTGTGAGTTCGAGGCCAGCCTGGGCTACCAAGTGAGTTCCAGGAAAGGCGCAAAGCTACACAAGAGAAACCCTGTCTTGGAAAACCAAAAAAAAGACAACATTAAAGGCTTTGAATTTGATTTCTAGCACCTAAGCCTTCGGGGGTCCCAGAAGTCACAGTTTCAGGAGGGCCAGTTTTCAGGTCCACATGCACACCTCCATCTTCCCCATACTGCCTTGGCTGACACAGTTCAGGGCTCTGGACCAGACAAGGGTCTCACCCTTACCTTCTCTTTCACAACTGTTCCCACCATGTTTCAAAGACAAGACTCATTTCTCATTCATGTTAAACCCTTGAGGGTGCTCGGCCTGGAGTACAAGGAGTATAAGTAAGAGCTACCAAATTCAGGGATTGGTTGGAAAAGCCTTGCTCCTGAAAGAAGGGCACCCCGAGGCTGGGTCATGGTTCGACCAGGCAAACTCGGGGTACGGCATTTGAAACTATGAAACACTGTCTCTGAAAGTCAGAAGTAAGGAAGATGTCAAGGTGAGGAAGCTTGAGCATTACGATGTTTATCTGACTTGCAAAACAAAGAATGTGTTTTTTGATGGGTTTGGGGGGGCGGTATGTTAAGTCTGATTAGCCTGATAGGAAAGACATTGGGGGATTAGGGAACAATTAGGCTATGTACTATGTATCACCTTTGAATTTCAGCTAAGCCTCTAACACCAGGATTTTGACAGTAATAGATTTAAAGGATATGTATAACAAGGTAGGCATCAAATCCTTTGTAGGTATTTTGAAGAAAGCATTTAGAAGGCAACTTCAAATATATGGTGGAGTATGTATTTTTTCAGTATACCTTTTGGGAGTTCAATTGAGAAATCAAGGGCGTATGCATAGGGCTGACTCCATAGCCTATATCATAATCTATCATAATCATCACACATTTCTTTCTTTCTTTCTCTCCTTTCTCTTCTCTTTCTTTTTCTTTCTTTCTTTCTTTCTTTCTTTCTTTCTTTCTTTCTTTCTTTCTTTCTTTCTTTCTTTCTTTCTTTCTTTCTTTCTTTCTTTCTTTCTTT